GGAAGGAAGGAAGGAAGGAAGGAAGGAAGGAAGGAAGGAAGGAAGGAAAGTGTCCAACAGGAAAGGAAGGAAGGGAAGGAAGGAAATCTCTTCTTCTGCATAGAGGACACCGCCCCACCAATGTGGTCCTTGTGCAGCCCCACGGCACCAGCACATTCCAGTCTCAAACCACAGCCACACCCCAGGGGTGGCCCCAAACCACTTCCCAGCCCCTCCTGTCCCTTCCCAAGGCTCTGGCACGCAGGATGAGCTCTGAGCATCTGTCCTGGCTCAGGAGGACCCTGCAGCACCTGAGCACACCCTGGAGCCTCTGCCCGCCTCCCCCAGCTCCCACCGCACCATCCAGCCCTTAAATCTTTAATAGCCTTCCTTCCCTTCGCTGGGAGCACACGAGGGTGAGCACAGCTCCCCAGATCAAACCGAATCCTTAATTGGAGCAGCTGTTAACAAGGGTTAAATCTGCAGGCTGCGGTGCTCTCACCATCAGCGAGCCTGAAGGGTGTCCATTTTGCAAAGCCATAATGAATCATTTTTCCTTAGCAAATCTGGCAAACTTCAATCCTGGTTCCTGCAGCCTCCTTTTTCACATGTCCAAGCCCTCTGTGACACATCAAATTTAATGAGACTGCACAGACCTCAAATAAGGCACTGTAGCACTGCTGGGATACTTTATTAAGGAGGATCAGACAGAATGTGTTTGCTGTTTAAGAGCCTTTAAAGGCAAATTACGCTTCTTTTTTGGGGGGATGAGAGCCTCCCATTTTTGTTCAGTCCCTGGTCCTCCTCAAACACGTCCTGCAGGCCAATTCAAACACAGAGTTAAGGTTTCTGCAAACAGGGAAAGCAGCAGAATTGGCAGCGAGGGCTGAGAGACCAGCGAGGCTGGATTGAAGGTTGAGGGGTAGGACACAGACAAAGGAACGTGTGATTTCACCAAATAATAATAATAATAATAATAATAATAATAATAATAATAATAATAATAATAATAATAATAATAATAATAATNGCAGCCAGAGCAGGGTGGCAGTGCCACTGTCCCACGAGGGACCTGGCACCGTTTGTGCTGCAGATCCAGCCAAGCTCCTGCTCTCCAGCGCAATCAAATCGAGCATGAAGGAAGCAGAGCCTGGTGCTTTAGATGGCATTATCCGAGCGCTCCGTGGGAACCGCCGCCCAAATCCCCGCGCATTAACTCGCCCTAATCTTGGAGAAATCTCTTCCCGACTGTTTTGAAATAAATCCTGTTAAATTCTGCAGGGAATTGGCCTTATCTCTCCACACCTGTGTGGGTTTGCTCCCCTACCTTTTCCCTGGACAAAAGGGAGTGGGTCTGTGTGTGGCAGTGTGTGTGTGTGTGTGTGTCTGAGAGGAGCTAAAGAGACAATTATCCTCCGCTGAAAATAAACATCATGAAACTATAGATGCCTAATTTTTGCACCTGGAAGATCCTCTTACAGCTATTCACTGCTAATCACTCT